AAATCTGCTGAAGGTGGTAGTTTTATTGGGCAATATAATCTTGGATTTTGCTACCAAAATGGCATATTCATTGCTAAAAGTTCCCACATGATCATTCCCAGAGCATATATATCAGTCGCTCTAGAGTGCGGATAGCCCTTAAAGATTTCTGGTGCAATATATGGTATAGAACCATAACTTCCTCCTTGAGTAGCTGCTATAATATTAAACGCATTACTTAAACCAAAGTCAGAAATTACAATGTTCCAATTATTACATATTTTATTAACAGTAAAATAATTATTACATTTTGTAAGCAGAATGTTATTAGTATGTAAATTGCAGTGAAAAATTTCAACAGAATGCTTATAAGTAAGACATAAAGCAATATTAAATATAGTGTTTACACAAATCTATACGGGAGAATTCTTGCTTTTGAAGAAGATTTCGCAAGCTTCCACCTTCATAGAAGTCCATTACTATAGCAATTTGATATGTCTGCACGAGAAAAGTTAACCCATAAATTTCTGAAGACGTTTCAATATCTATCTTATTTGAAAGAAATTTATTATTAAACTTTAAAAATAACAAGTTGAATCAATATTAGAAAGATTAGGTTTTAACATAAAAAAGAATATAAGCGTTATAAGTGATATGAACTTTACCTCATCTATAATACTCGTTGCTTCATCGAAAGAGCCAAGCGTTTTAAGTGCAACCATAGCAGACCCCCTTTGAGGTCTTAACCCATTATGCCTGCGGGGATATCCCTTAAGCCATGTTGCTTTATAGACGGATGAAATCGCTCCGTCTGCAAGATATTGAATATTGGCCAAGTCTTTTGGATCTATCCACTCCCAATAAAAGTCAATTTCGTCATTATTAATTTGGGTGCGTCGAATTATCATATCTATTGCGTAATTACCACTTGTCCATACTTTAAACTCTGGTTCTGGTTTTCTAAAATAACATCTTACGCAATAAAGCATTTCATTACTACAAGGTTTCTCGCAGTCCTCACAGTCTGGGTAGTAGCATTTACAAAATGATTGATCAATAGAAATGTCTTCAACCGGTTTAAATGCCAGCAACACATCAGTAGTTTCTATGCATCGTTCGTAATAAAGACCAATGTTGTTTTTTTCAGCAACATCACTACCTTTTGCAGATTTTGTATACCATTCAAATGTTTTCTCAGTATCTTCAGCAATCCCTCTTCCATTTCTATAGCGCCACGCGACTTTGCATTGTCCGTTAGCATTACCACCTTCAGCAGATTTTAAATACCATTCAAACGCTTTATTTTCATCCTTAGCAATGAATATGCCATTTTGGTAGCAAAATCCAAGATTATATTGCCCAATAAAACTACCACCTTCAGCAGATTT